GGGGCACGGGGGGGCCGGGCCGGCCTGCGGGCAGAGGGAAGGGGCGGCAGCTCCCCCTCGGCGGGCCGCGGAGGGGGGTGGGGGGGTCCCCCTCTGCTCCGGCCCTTCTCATGGTGTTGCCCCCACGAACAGTACAGGCAGCAAACCCCCAAAGCCCCGCAGAGAGACAATGCAACAAAAGAGACAATGGCACGGAAAAGGGAGAGAAAAAAGGATTTCAGGATGCTGGAGACTGTAAGAGGGGTGCTGTGATTGGGTGGAATTTATGGGTAAACCGGATCTATTTATAGTAAAATATACATTTTTTCTTGGCTGGCTGAAAAAGCACTGAAAAGATGCCAGCCCTTTTATTAGTAAACGGTCCCAGCGGCCTGCCTTTTTTCTCTGCCTTATGCAGTATTTATCACAACCGGTTTACGCGAATGAAATAAATGTGTTTACAGCTGTAACCATAGCCCAAACTGGTGCAGTATAATGCCATGAATGCCTCTGGAGTGTTGTTGCTCTTGTCCCCCACCCTGCCCCCCTGGAGTTTAAGAAACTGAACCTTTCCAGAGGGCCCTCAACCATCCGTGCCTGCGTAGTAAATCAGAACAAATAGAAATACTGAGGGCATACGAATAGACGCGTGGTGGAGAAAGCAGCCCTTCGGGTTTGGCTGGCAGTAGAGAGGCCATGGAGGTGGCATGGGATAAGGGCTGACCTAATGGCAGGAGGAGAGCTTTGCACCTAGGAGAGGATGTTGTAGTTCATGTGGGGGGGAGGAGCTTGAGGGTTTGTGTGTGTGTGTGCGTGTGTTCGTGAGCAGGGAGAGGTGGCGGGGTAGAAGAGCCTTTTGGATTTCAAAACAAGCAAAAACCGAGCGTGAGAACAGAGGGACATAGGAGCCGGCTGGAAATGCACCTGCAGAAATAGAGGGGGCAGCCCCTCCTGGGGTGACTTTCCATCCATCTGTCCCCGAGGTTAACGTTTCTCAGGACGCCTCTCTGAAGTGTGTTGGTGCCCTCCCCTCTCCCCGCAGGCCGCTGGGTGCCCCGGGATGGACGGACAGACGGACAGACGGGTGCTGGGCCTTCACCTCCCCTTTCCTTTTCCGCATACGTAAAGCCAATATGAGGTCGCAACCCACATCCCGCCGCCCTCCCTCCTTCTCTATCCACGGACCCTTTTTTTTTTTCCATGCGGGTGGGGAGGGGTAGGTTGGAGTCGATGCTCAGCGCGGTTCCCAAGGGTCCTGGGGCCGCCTCTGCCACTGACCATCTGCCACCTCCCGCCACTGCCGGCCCGGGTAGCGGAGCGCAGGGACAAAGGGGCCGGGGCGGCGGGGCCTGCGCCTC